AAGCCCCACCGCACAGTTAGAATTCTAAGCCAGATCTTTACTAAGCAGACCTACATTATGCTGACTTTTCAACTTTCTTGGCCTTAAAATAATGCCAAATTCTGCCCAAGCTTCTCACTGGCCTCTCTCCCTCATTGGATGCACTTTGTCTATCCCGGTGTTCTTCTCCCACAGGGGAAACTTAAAATAAATATTCAGCAGCAACCCATAGGCAGGAAAGGATATAAATGTCCACTCAGCCCTGCCCAAAGTCATAACAAGCTTCTTAGGGACTGTGTTCATTATCTCACTTAAGCCAGAGTATGCTAAATGGCCAGTAGAGACTAAGTACAGTGACTTTCATTGATCCAGGGGGGATGATAAAGACTCAAAACATCTCCTAGGAAGGTCAGCTCTGGTTGCAAATATCCAAGGTACTACAACTCATTATTAAGACCTTGGAAAGTAACTCATAATTACTTACAAAAGCAAAGGGATATTTGAGAGGCTACTGGATTCCCCAGATTTTAATAACTTCTTGCGTTTACTCTGTTACTGTTGACTTGTGTTCTATATTTAAATATTTATAAATGAATATAACATTAAAGAATATATAGAAATAATAAATCAGCAGGAGTACTCTAGGTTACCATATATTATTGTATTATAGATACCATATAGATATGTAAATATTTCCCCCTTCTCCTTTCTCTTGCTTTCTCTCTTTATTGGAATGTGGTGTAACAGAGTCAGGGCCTTGCATATATTAACCATATCATAAACTAGCCATATATTCTACTAATTAGCCTTGTGCATAACTTTAAACTCTGGTCTACTTTCAATATTTTATATACTCAAGGGTATGTACTTCATCTCTCCCATGTAGATATGTAATATGTACTCAAAATAATCCTATGGTTTAATTATACTGTAAGCTCTCTCTGAACTGTTCTTCAGTTGGTTGGCATAAACATGGCTTCTGTGTTGGCCTACAGATATAGTATTGTAGGGTTAGTTCTCTGGGAATAGAACACAGAAAATGGCATGGATGGCAGCTTATTGGGCTTTGGATGCCTATCAATAAAATGTTAGACAAAATTGTTGATATTGGGTTGGACAGCAGGATACTTGTTACAATGCTTGCAATAGAATTTAGTAATAGTGTTCAGTTCAGTGTGTATCTGTGGATATCTGCCTCTGCTTTAGTCAGCCACTGGATGAGGGCTCTTGGATGTCGTTAAAAAGTAGTCATCAATCTCATTTTAGGGGAAGGGCATTTAGGTTATTCTCTCCACCACTGCCTGGATTGTCAGTTTGTGTCATCCTTGTAGATCTCTAGAAGTCTCCCTAGTGCCAGATCTCTTCTCGGACCTATAATGGCTCTCTCTAATATGGTATATCTCATCCTGCTCTCCTCTATTCTTCCCCCAACTCAATATTTCTGCTCCTCCATTTCCTCCTCTCCTTTCCTCTTCTCCTGCTCTTATTCTTAGTTGCAGAGAGGGAGGAATGAAGATCCAAGGGGTTGGTACCATGTTGGAGAATCCACAGAAACAGCTGGCCTGAACAAGGGAGCACACATCGACCCCAGATGCTGTCTGGGAGGCCAGTACAGGACTGATCCAGACCCCTGAACATGGATGTCAATGAGGAGTCCTCTGCACTCTAGGGGGCCCCTGGTAGTGGATTAGTATTTTTCCCTGGTGTAAGAACGGACTTTGAGAACCCATCCCACATGAAAGGATGCACTCTTGCCCTGGACACATGGTGAGGGGCCTAGGTCCAGCCCAGGATGATGTGGTGGACTTTGTGGAGCCCCCGTTGAGGGCCCTACCCTGCCTGGGGAGTGGAGGGTAGATGGGGTGAGGAGTAGGTTGGGGTGGGGAAGGAGGGGTGAGGCTGAGGGGAGGAAGAGGGAGAAGGGATTGACATGTAAAACCAGCTTGTTCCTAATTTGAACTAATATAAAAATTATTCAGTAAAAGCATATAAACCTTTAAACATAAGACCCTTTTCACAATAAGGCACATTTTCTAAATAGTATCATTTGGGAAGTCATTAGAAGAGTAAACCTCCATGAATCCAATGTCTCATCATTCATCTTAAAACCCAACCAAGGTCATGTTCACCTTCTCAAGAAAACTTGCTGATGACGACTTCTCTGTTACATCATTCATACTTTGGACATTTTCTTCTTTTACATTTATATCTTTATTTTTCTCCTCCATGAATAAAGGAAAAATCACACCTAAGATGAGGCTTTCTTATGAAATACATACCATTTTAAGTCTATCACTTAACTTTCTCCCTACCACATAATTGGAAAGTCCTTCTTACAGTTTGTCCTTCCACCAGGAAACACTGAACATTGGAAGATCTTGAAGTACACAGTGAAACAGTTTTAGTGACCAGAACTTTGAGTTACTTTAAATGAAGGAGCTCTTCTTTCTTTCTTTCTTCAAGAAAGAAAGTGCCTGCATCCACACTTTGCTTTTGCTGGAAGCCCCAGGCCTTGGGGTTGGCTGTGCTCATTTTCTGTGTATTTCTTGCTTCAGTATCTTGAACATCATAGTCATTTCAAAATGGCCTATTCACAAATAAGGTAGAAGGAACTCCAACTTGAGTTCAAGAGACCCGCAGTCTGACTTACATGGGGACAATTCTTTGAAAATTTAATGTTTATAATAATCTCAATTCAAAAAGAATAAGTTAAGTGAATTTGTTATATTTACATTGTTGATGCTAAACACAGTTCTTACTCCAAAGAGAATTCATTTTAATTTTTAGCCAACTATGAGTGACCATGGCCACAGAGCATATTTTCTCCATAATGACACTTTTCACCATGGATGTGCTTACATAAATGCATTTGCTAAACATTGGTGAGAAGAGCAGGAAGGCAGATTATAGGAAAGTGATATAAATTTTTGCTTTCTGTTCTTGGAGTGAATTAGCTTATGAAGAGTTCCTTATGGGAAGATTATAATCAGGATTACAAAGAAACATGGATAAGTATTCTCTTAGGGCGTGTGATTGTTTATTCTGATTTATGAACTTGACAGGATCTAGGATCACACAGGAAACACTTAGGATTGTCTCTGTGCAAGCCTATCAAGGATTAGCTACATTAAATTAATTGACCCAGGAAGATACACCATAACTGTGCCAATCCATGGGTCAGTGTCTTGGACTGAATAAAGATGAGAAGGCATATTGAACACAGCATTTGTCATTCCCTGATTCCCGACTATGGACTCAATGTAACAAGCTGCCTTGGGCTCCTGCCACTGTAACTTCCCTGCCATGGTGAACTGGACCCTTAAGTTGCTTTTGTTGTTATGTTTTATCCCAGTACTGAGAAAAGTAATGAACCCAGGCAGAGAAAAGAAGCTATACGTGTACAACTTTTGAAAAAATGACAAGTCTTCAGAAGTCCTGACTAACCATGAAATAATTTTATTAAGCTACTTGAATCAGCACTTTTCCTGTTGTTTTTAATGTTGGCTACATACACTGCCATTATACATTATAAAGAAGTATTATTTTTCATAGAAAGATTGGCTGAGATTTTCTTAATAATTAAAATCTCTCTCTCTCTCTCTCTCTCTCTCTCTCTCTGTATGTGTGCATGTGGTGTGTGTGCGTGTGGTGTGTGTGTGTGTGTGTGTGTGTGTGTGTATGTGTGTGTGTGTGTGTGTGTGTGTGTGTGTGTGTGTATTGTGTGTGTACTACTTCTCCAGGATTATTAACAATCTGCTATTACATTTGTTTTTATGAACTGAGTTTTTTTACTATCACCTTTTCAAAGCTAGGAAAGCATTTTCATACATATGCCACATAATTGGTTTATATTCATCCCCATTTCCTGGTAATCTTGCCTATCGCTCAACTTCTCTTTTTAGTACCTTTACTTCCTATCCAAAATAGTATGCCATTCTGTTTTAATGATATATATATATATATATATATATATATATTAATCACATCTGTCTCCTCACTTCTTCCCTCCCACAAGATCTCCTCTGCACCATTCATGGTCTCTGTAATGGTTAGATCTGTCAACTTGACAGAATCTATACTCACCCAGGAGAAGAGGCCTGCAAGAGGAAGAGTATCTTGATTTTGTTATAAAAGTAGGAAGACCTTACACAATGGGTGACACATTCCACATTGGTGATCCTGCACTATTCAAGTAGAGCAAAACAGGCAGCAGCAGACATTTACTGCTCTCTTCTGGACAGTGGAGGGTTTGTGATGAGATGCTTCAAATCTTGACTTCCTCACCATACCTGTGAACTGAGAACCAGTTCCTTAAGTTTCTTTAGTCAGGGTATTTTATCACATTGACAGAAAAAAAGACAGCATCTTCAACATCTTCAACAAATGGTACTGGTCAAACTGAATGGCTATGTGTAGATATGCAAATAGATACATACTTTTAAATCTCTGCACAAAACCCAACTTCAAATGGATTAAACAGCTCCACATAAAACCAGATACACTTAATCTGATAGACAAGAAAGTGGTGAGTAGTCTTGAATGCATTGGAACAGGAAATAACACCAATAGCACATGCTCTAAAATCAACAATTAATAAATGAGACCTCAGGAAACTGAAAGGCTTCTATATGTCATAGGACACCATCATTCATGCAAAGTGCATGCTCCAGAATGGGAAAAGATTTTTTTAAATTCATACACTAGAGAACTAACACCTAAAATATATAAAGAACTCAAAAAAAATCAGGAAAACAACCCAACTCAAAATGGGGTACATATCTAAAGAAAGCATTGTCAAAAGAGGAAAAACAAATGGCTGTGAGAAACAATTAAGAAATATTCAACATCCTCAAATGGACAATGTTCAGATGGTGAAAGACCTTGGAACACTCATCATAAATGGGATACATTCATCAAATCCCTCACATCAGGGCTCAGTGAGCTATGCAGAAGAGCAGCAGAACAGATTCTGAGACAAAGAACATCTGATAGACAGTTCATTTGAGATTTCATCTTACACAAGTCATAATAGCCAATATCAGTAACACAAATGACAGCTCATTCTGGCAAGGGTGTGGGATAGGCTTTCTCAGCAGAGATGACAGGGGCATATGTGGCCAGAGGGAAATGGATGCGAGGGTAGGGTACCAGGTTGGTCTGGAATTCTGTCAGGTCAACATTCAGAGCTCCATCAAATCTGAGAGAAGCAGTGATGGAAGACACAATCTGGCTAATGAGGCGGTTAAGGTTAGTGTAGGTGGGGCGCTCAATGTCGAGGTTTCTACGACAGATGTCATAGATGGCCTCGTTATCTACCATGAAGGCACAATCAGAGTGCTCCAGGGTGGTGTGGGTGGTGAGGATGGAATTGTAGGGCTCAACCACAGCAGTAGAAACCTGGGGGGCTGGGTAGATGGAGAACTCTAGCTTGGACTTCTTTCCATAATCGACAGAGAGCCACTCCATCAGCAGGGAGGTGAACCTAGAGCCAGTTCCCCCACCAAAGCTGTGGAAAACTAAGAAGCCCTGAAGACCTGTGCACTGGTCAGCCAGCTTGCGAATTCTGTCCAAGACAAGATCAATGATCTCCTTGCCAATGGTGTAGTGGCCACGGGCATAGTTATTGGCAGCATCTTCATTGCCTGTGATGAGCTGCTCAGGGTGGAAGAGCTGGCGGTAGGTACCAGTGCGAACTTCATCAATGGCTGTGGGTTCCAGATCTACGAACACGACCCTGGGGATATGCTTGCCAGTGTCTGTCTCACTGAAGAAGGTGTTGAAGGAGTCATCTCCTCCCCCGATGGTCTTGTCACTTGGCATCTGGCCGTCAGGCTGGATGCCATGTTCCAGGCAGTAGAGCTCCCAGCAGGCATTGCCGATCTGGACACCAGCCTGGCCAACGTGGATGGAGATGCACTCACACATGGTAGCTACGGGTTAGAAGGCAAGGGTGACAAAAGCAGACAGCAGGTCACGGTTACGGTTCCCGACAGCTAAGAGTCGAGGTAAGTAACGCAATCGACCAAAGGAATTTATAACCAACAGGTAAGCCTTAGAGAAGATACTAAAAGAAACTGTTCAGACTGATAGGCAAGGCTAACTCATCTAAGAAGGAAAACATAAAGTATGCTAGGACAGCCTTTAAGCAGATGAACACTAGCAAAAGCAAAACAGAAATTCAACAAAATGATGGGAATCAATGCATAATTGAATAATACTCTTTATCAATGGTGCCAATTCCCCAACCAAAAGGTACAATAGAAGATTGTATTAAAAACAGGATCCATTCATTTGCTGCATCCAAGAAAACAGCACCTCATCTTAAAAGAAGAAAGTAGATTAGGGGAAAAGGTTACAAGAACCTATGCCAGGCAAGTGTAAGTAGAAAGCAGACATCATTTTTCTATTACTTAATATATATTCTATATATGGTCTAATATATATCCTAAGGGAATCCACACCAAAATTACAAAGGGAAAATAAATATTATATCATTCCAATTAAATAATTAACCTAATAGGAAAATATTATAATTCTAAACATAACATATATGCACCCAATTCCATAAGGCACACACTACCATATACAAAGAAATGGATTAATCTCAACAACCCATGGAACTTGAGCCAAATAAATTATAGGATTTGGACCCAAAGGAAATCTTAGCAAATGTAGGAAAATTCAATAATTCCTTGTATACTCTTTGGTCAAACTGAAATAAAAGTACAAATTAACAGCAACTACAACTATAAATTGCACACTCCTGCAACACATGATTAAAGATGCTGAATAAATTTGAGGAATATTGTATTAGCTCTTCTGTGAATTTGTGGTAGAATTATGCACTGAAACCATGTGGCCCTGGGCTTTTTTTTGGTTGGGAGACTTTGGATGACTGCCTCTATTTCATTTGGGGTAATAGGTCTGTTTAAATTGATTATCTGTTCTTGATTTAATTTTGTTAAGTGACATTTATCCAGAAAATTTCATTTCAATTTTCCAGTTTTGTGGAGTACAGGTTTTCAAAGTATGACCTGATGATTCTCTGGATTTCCTCAGAATCCATTGTTATGTCTCCCTTTTCATTTCTGATTTGTTAATTTGCAAATTCTCACACTGCCTTTTGGATAGTTTGGATAAAATTTTATCTATCTTGTTGATTTTCTCAAAGAAGCAGCCCTTCATTACATTGATTCTTTGGATTATTTTCTTTGTTTCTACTTTATTGATTTCAGCCCTCAATTTGATTATTTCCTGGCATCTACTCCTTCTTTTTGTTCTAGAGCTTTCATTTGTGCTGTTAATTCTCTAGTGTGACTATTCTTCAGTTTCTTAATGTGGTCACTTAGTTCTACGGACTTTCCTCTTAGTACTGCTTTCAAAGTGTCCCATAAGTTTGGGTATGTTGTGTCTTTATTTTCATTGAATTCTAGGAAGTCCTTAATTTCATTTTTTATTTCTTCCTTGACCCAGGAATGATGCAATTGTGTATAGTTCAATTTCCATTTATTTGTAGGCTTTCTGCAATTTGTGTTGTTGTTGAATTCTAACTTTAAAGCATGGTAGTCTGATAAGATACAGGGGTTTTATCCATTTTTTTGTATCTGTTGAGGTTTGCTATGTTGCTGAGTATGTGATCAATTTTAGAGAAGGGTCCATGTGGTGCTGAGAAGAAGGTGTATTCTTTTGTGTTTGGATGGAATGTTCTATAGATGTCTGTTAAACCCAATTGGTTCATAACTTCTGTTAGTTCCTTTGTCTCTTTGTTAAGTTTCTGTCTGTTGGTCCAGTTTAGTGGTGAGAGTGGGGTGTTGAAGTCTCCCACTATAAGTGTGTGAGGTTTTATGTGTGATTTGAATTTCAGTGATCTTTCTTTTACCAATGTGAGTGCCTTTGTATTTGCAGCATAGATGTTCAGAATTGAGACTTCATCCTGATGGATTTTTCCTGTGATTAATATGAGGTGACCTTCTTCTCTCTTTTGATTGATTAGTTTGAAGTCCAATTTGTTAGATACTAGGATACCTACACCAGCTTGTTTCTTGGGTCCATTTGATTGGAAAAATCTTATCCCAACCCTTTACTCTGAGGCAACTTCTGTCTTTGAAGTTGTGTGTTTCCAGTATGCAGCAGAAGGATGAATTCTGTCTTCATATCCATTCTGTTAGCCTGTGCTTTTTATAGGTGAGTTAAGACCATTAATATTGAGGGAAATTAAGGACCATTGAGTGTTAATTCTTGATTGTTTTGGATTTGATGTTGCTGGTGGTATTGCATGTGGATTTGCCCTGCTATATCTTTTGTCTTTTGGTAAAGTGGGATTATCTATTGCCTATGTATTTGTTAGTGTAGTTAACTTCCTTGGGTTGGAGTTTTCCTTCCAATACTTTCTGTAGGGCTGGATTAGTGGATATTTATTGTTCAGATCTGGTTTTGTCATAGAAAATCTTGTTTTTTCCATCTATAAAGATTGAAAGCTAATAACAACACACCTCAAAGTGTACTATAGAATAGATGCAGAAGGATCATTGCCAAACTCTTTTTATGAGGCTACAATTATCTTGGTACCCAAACCACACAAAGACACAACTAAGAAAGAGAACTATAAACCAATATCCCTCATGAACCTTAATGCAAAAATACTCAATAACATACTGGCTAATCGAATCTAAGAACACATCAGAAAAATCATCCATCATGATAAAGTAGGCTTCATCCCAGGGATGCAGAAATGGTTCAACATACAAATATTTATCAATGTAATCTACCATATAAACAAACTGCAAAAGAAAAACCACATGATCATCTCACTAGATGCTGAAAAAGCCTTTGACAAAATCCAACACTCCTTCATGATAAAGGTCTTGGAGTGATCAAGGATAACAGGAACATACCTAAACATAATAAAAGCAACACCAAACTAAATGGAGAGAAACTCAACACAATTACTCTAAAATCAGGAACAAAACAAGGCTGTCCACTCTCTCCATATCTCTTCAATATTATACTTGAAATGCTTGCTACAGCAATAAAACAACAAAAGGATATCAAGGGGATAGAAATTCAAAAGGAAGAAGTCAAATTTTCACTATTTGCAGATGATATGATAGTTTACATAAGTGGCCCAAAAAAATTCTACCAGGGAATTCTTACAGATAATAAACACCTTCAGCAAAGTGGCAGGATAGAAGGTTAACTCAAAAAACAAAACAAAACAAAACAAAACAAAACAAAACAAAAAACCCAGTAGCCCTAATATATATAGACGATAACTGGGCTGAAAAGAAATCAGAGAAACATCACCCTTTACAGTTGCCACAAACCACATAAAATATCTTGGGGTAACATTAACCAAACAAGTGAAAGACCTATATAGCAAGATCTTTGAGTCTTTAAAGAAAGAAATTAAAGAAGATACCAGAAAATGGAAAGATCTTCTATGCTCTTGTATAGGTAAGGTCAACATATCAAAAATGACAATCTTGCCAAAAGCAATCTACAGATTCAATGGAATCCCCATCAAAATCCCAGCACAATTCTTCACAGACCTTGAAAGAATAATATCCAACTTTATATGGAAAAACACATGACCCAGAATAGCCAAGAGTACAATAAAGGAACTACTGGAGGCATCACCATCCCTGACTTCAAGCTCTATTATAGAGCTATAGTCCTGAAAACAGCTTGGTATTGATACAAAAATAGACAGGTAGACCAATGGAATTGAATTGAATACCCTGATATTAACCCACACAACTACGAACACCTGATTTTTGACAAAGAATCTTAAGTTATACAATGGAATAATGACAGACTTTGAAGATACCCATGGAAGACTACCCCCTCCCTGGTGAGCAGAATGGGGATGGGATATACAGCTGGTAGGGGGCAAAGAAGGAGGGGAGGGAGAGGGAACTGGGATTGACATACAAAACAAGTTTGTTTCTAATTTAAATAAAAAAGGGAAAAAAGATAAAAGATACTGAATAAATCAAGGAAGAGAAAAATATTCTGGATAATGAATACATAGCATACTAAAAACCCATGGACTTCTATAAAAGTGGTCACAAGGGGGATGATTATTGATATAAATGTCTATTTAGACATATCAAATCAATCACTTCATACTTTAGGGCATTTGATAAGCAAGAAATGAAACACTAAATCAATATAAAGAAACAAATCTCTAAGATAAGATTAGAAATTAATGAAATAGAAACAACTACAAAACACAAAGTATCAAAACGAAGAGTACCTACTGAAAGGCTAAACAAGATGTATACCTTAGAGAAACTGACTACATTAAAAAGAGAAAGGACCTAAATTAATGAATTAGAGCTGAAAAGAAAGACATTTTTTCTTTTTAATCTTATTTATTTATTTATATTATATACAAACCATAGTTTCCCCTCCCTCCTCTCCTCCAATTCCCTCCACCCACCTTCTCTCTACCTAGGCATCCCCATCTCCTCCTTCTCAGTCTCCAATCTGAAGGAGTAAGAGCTCCAATGGGAGTCAACAAAGCATGGCATATCAAGTTTAGGCAGGGCCAAGGTCCTACCCCTTGAATCGAGGCTGGGCAAGGCATCGTACCATAAGGAATAGGTTCCAAAGAGTCAGCTCATGTAAAAAGGACAGTTCCTGGTCCCACTGCTAGGAGCCCCACAAACAGACCGAGCTACACAGCTGTCACCCTAAAGTAGATTTGCAATACAGAGTCAGGTCTAGATATAAGGGTAGTTTATTCAGGAAGATGCTACTCACTCAGAACAGCCTTGCCAGTGGGCAGGGAGCAAGGCAAGTAGAAGGGGCCCCACATCGGTGTACCTCACTCTATTTTCATTATTATTTTTATTTCAATTAGAAACAAGATTGATTTACATAACAATCCCAGTTCGCTTTACCCTCCCTTCCTTCCCTACCACCCCCCTAACTAAAACTCTACCTATAACATATCCTTTC